GCCATTCTGAATAACGCAATAACATCCCTGCTCACCGCAGGTGGTCAAATCATTGGCACATAGACTCCAGTTGGCTTAACGGGCCTATGCTAGAAAAGGACTGGAGAACCCACCATTAGGCACTGGGGCCCTGGCTGGCACAGAACTCTTCCATTAGCTAAAGGTGAGCACTCATCATAAGTTCATATGTTTCCTTAATTGTCAGAGGGCCCCGACCAACGCAAGAGACCTTGTCATTTTGGCTCCCCCCTCCCGGCTCCCCCATCCCTGTTGAGCAAATATTTTCCTGACCGATTTGTGGCCCCCTTGTTGATACATAATGCCCCGTTAGGCACTGTAGACCCCTGAACGATACAGGAGCCGAACCAAACCAAATGTAAATCGGGGGCCTGGCCTCGTCCCCGCTTGGGAAAAAGTCCCGGAGCTCAGACCAACACGGAGCTCACTGTTCGTTGTTCGTGATCTCTGGCCGAAACAGAGGAACACCCTCTCAGGGGTTCCTGTCGGTGCATGAGACAATCCTACTGACGTTTCAGATCACGGCCCTATGGGCGGGGTCTTTAGTGCGACCTACAGCCAGCCCTTCGAACCCTTCAGCCGTCCAGTCGGGCCCTTGATCATTGGTCTCGAGAGGTCCTTCGGTCGCTGTTCGGGCCCCCTCAAACGCCGCTCCGACCCCGGGTCACATGCCGCAACGGGACCCCTGTTCGGCACTGTGGCCCCTAACCAACACGGGAGCCCTTCATTGTGTCAAGGACCCCGAACATTGTAAATCGTGGACGCCGGCCTCGTTTCTGCCTGGCAAATGGGTCCCAAGGGCTCAGACGGACATGGCGCCGACTGCTCAGCGTTCGTGATCTCTGACCGACTGAGATACTCGCGCTGTCTCAGGGGTTCCTCAAACGGGGGACCTCTGACTGATATTTCAGGTTACGACCCTGCAGACCGCAATTACTTTCGTGACCTACAGCCAGTTCTTCGGACCCTGATGCCCTCCAACCGGGCCTCTGGTTGTCGGTTCCGGTGGGCCGCCCGGGCCCCTCTTCGAGCCTCATCAAACACTTCCCTTGGTCGGCTCGGGGCCCTTGCGGGCACAGAGCCCCTTGTTAGATGCTTGGGCCCCTGACAAATACAATGCCCCAGACGAGTGTAAATCGCTGGCCCCGGCTTTATAGCTAATTGGGAAGTGGATTCTCAGGCCCGTACTGGCACGGAGCCGAGTAAGCGATATGGTGGTTCCTGACCGACATATAGGCCCATATCGGCTCAGAGGGTCCGATCGGCGCAAAGCGCCCTCTGACCGTTATTTGAGGGTCCGTCTTCGTAGGTTGGGGCCCCTGAATAAGACTCCGACCAACCCTTTATGCACTTAGACTCTCCAATCGGGCCCTCGATTGTCGGACCGGATGGACCCTCTAGGCTCATCGGGTCTCCTCGGATACTGCCTCTGACCGACTCGGAGCCCCTTCAGAACACAGAGCCCCTGTTAGACGCTGTGGGGCCCCGAGCAATGTAAATCGCTGGATCCCGCTTTTCCCTGCCTGGGAAATGGGCTCTTAAGCCCATACCGCCACGGAGCCGACTGTGCGCCACTGGTGAGTCTGACCAAAATATGGGCCCTTATCGACTCAGCAAGCCCCTGATGAGCGCGCAAGGCCCTCTGGCTGGCATTGGAGTGCCCGGCCCTGTGGGCCGGGGGCCCTGAATGAGACCCCCGACCGGCCTTTCGGGTCCTTTATCGCACGTTCCGAATGGCCCGAAGGGCCCATTGGAACTAAAGGGGGAGGCATGTGCCCCTATGCCCCCTGCGTGCGCTACTGTGGGGAGGCAAGTCAACATTAGGGGGGCAAGGCCCTCACGAATAATACAAATCGACACCCCTGCCTTGGAAACACTGAACTAGTGTGCTAAACGTTCTAGACTGGCCTCGATTGAGGCCGAATCCACCCTGGAATCGAGCAGCAGCCGAGTCCGACTCAGAATAGCTTCAGATTCTATTGCCGCTTTTGGTTGGAATGATAGCGGACGCCGAGCGCTGCATCGCAGTGGGATTCGCAGTAAGACTCGCAGTAAGACTCGCAGTGGGACTCGAAGGAAGACTCGCGGTGGGACTCGCAATGAGACTCGTCGCCGCCCGACCGAAGTCAAAGGCAAATCGGCTCCTCATGACCACTGGTCGGTCAGGATTACCGAGCACGGTCCTGCCAGCAGTGAACATCCCGATCGAGATGTGGCGGTCCTGATAACTCCTCGACGCCCTCGTGAATGCACTCCACCCTCTTTGGCCTCGCCCTCGTGGCTCGGAAGCTCGGGCTTTACTGTTGCATCACTCGGCGGGATCACACCGCCCCCCGCACGGTCCGCTTCGTGTGCACACGCCAGACTTGCCGGCCGTCCTTCTACACCACTCATGCGCCACACACAAACGAACGAGAGTGACGAGAACACAGCCAAAAAGAGGATCGGTCGGAGCGACCGGCCCACGTGCCCTGAGACTCACCTGTCCCACAGTCGGCTAGCTGAGCTGAGCGTCGAACGCGCACCCAATCACCCCGCTCCTTGGACCGAGTGGCGCGCACTTGAGCCCGTCTGAATATCAGCAGACAAGGCGCCGTGTTTTCATGAAGGGGGACGGGGTGGCAATTGCAGAGTGCAAGCAGTAGCGATATCTAGTGGCTACGTTATAAACTAATAGTTTATATCTCCTACGCTAGGTGCTAGGTGCTGGGTGAGCTATTGTAACGGCCTCTACGCTTATCTGATGTTTGGGGACCTGATTTTGGGGGATCTGTTATGCAGAGTTGTAGTTTCCGATTCAGTTGGGTGGGGGGATCATGCTCCTCTCCCGCCTTGGGCTCCAGCCCCCCCCCCCCCGCCGCCAACTTGGAAAAGGCAGGGAGCCACATCCGGGGGTGGGAAACCCGTTCATTAGCGTATTTTGGCGCAGATTGTGTCATTTTTCACTGCTCAGCCCCCATTTCTCATTTTGCGAAACATTACCATGCTGTGATGTCGTGCTGTGCTTTAAACGTCAAAGAGCCTACTTCACAGTCCTCTCGTGACAAGAATGAGGAGGCGAGGTAGCTCGCAGTGAGGCGAGGGTTGTCTTGCATGTCATTTGTAGCCATGCCGGGCACGGGGCCGGTGTCGCCCTTGGATCGTCTGGCTTGAGGAATGGGCACTCTCTAGCCGGGTTCACTGGGATGCCCCAGCGTCGTCATAGAACTGTTTGAGAGGCGCATCATGTTGGGACTGAAGAGAAACGGGACGCAGCGATTTCTGTTCTCACTGCTTTAGACTTAAGCAAGGGGACGGACAGCAAGCCGCGTAAAGAGGGCGTTCCATATTTGTATGGGATCTTGAGCTGAAATAGCCACCTTGAAGATCATTCGGTGCAGTTCACAGTACCGCACTACTTAAGACACAAGTGTGCCTAGTTTCTGAGTTACGCGTCCGTGGAGATGCGCACATTATTTTGGGGAGACTATGTTGTCAAGGTCCGCCAGCCATCCCTGACGTCATAACAGCATCATTCAGATCCTGCCATTACAATAGCCACGTGGCGATCAAGGCCAAGAAAAATGCAGTTGTTGAGCGGTTCACATATCGTGAACAAGAGCCCGTGGGCACGATTTCTGTGATGTATCGGCCGTCAATTGGCCCTCCATCAATGTTTTGCAAGCTGTGACGACGTAATCAAAGAACAACATACTTAGGAACAGATTACTACACAGATAAAAGTATTGTCCACAGCGGTCTTTTCACTTGAAAAGTACTCCAGTCTTATAAGTGAGCTTATTTCGTTATAGCTGACGCTTCCCTCAATATCTTTAAATGTGGAGCATTCCCTGAAATCATGCATGGGCTGACACACGTGTGTGACCGCGGTGATCGTCGAAACAGCGCACCGACCGCCGCGGTTTGCAAGTTGTACATTCCAAGCTGTCCGGTCCAAGATCAGCCGGGACGTCCAGATCGACGGTTTGACCTTCAAACTGGCCTGGCTCGGGGACCGTTAGCGCGTGCGTATGCGTGTACAGAAAGCGGCGACAACAAAGGCAAGACCGATGACCCGATGACCCGACTGCGTCAGCGCGACTTGTTGTATTGGCACCACCCCCAATAGAACCCGCTCAGTGCGAACGTTGCAGTTGCAGTCTAGGTCAAATTCTCCGACTCCACATCGAGTTCACATTTTGATACGATATCATCTGTTGACTTGAATAGCAAAATTTGAAGAAATAAGAAGTGACCAATCCAAGCTTTTCGTGCAATAGCCGAGATCAATGAAGCCAGCAAGCGAGCAATCATTCCGCCCGTAATATTACGCAACGTGTGGGACTGCTCACGGCGCCTGCTGAACTATGGGTTCAGTGACGTCACGCCAAGGTTGAGTGAATTGGACACTAAAATTGCCGCATGATCCATTTTCCACGACCTTGACATCACGTGCGCGAAGCGTTGGCATAGACGAATATGGTGAGCGCGGTACCGAGGGTAGGTGTGGGGTAGATGTGCATATGTGAGTGGATGGATGGATGGAAGTGGATTGTGTTGAGGTGTTGGATATCATTCTAGTTGTAACTGGGAGTATCTGTATTATTTTATGGTGAAATAACCTAATTTTCTCCAGCCATACGAACTTGTAAGTACTTGTATTCGAGGCGGCAACATCATAAAGTGTGCAGATTTGTGGTACTAGTCAGGTTAGTCCTGGTTTGGGTGCTTGGGCACCAATTATGTTCCTATGTCAAGACAGCTCTTTCCCAATGTCCTGGGTGGGTGGGGTGCAGCCTTAAAAGGAACACACCACTCCAAAGGGCTTAAACAGTGTCAACAGCAACATTGCTGCAAAAATTTCAGAGCTTGTGGGATATTTGATCCATCTGTTCGCAAATTTGTCATGTAGATTATGTGAACAAATTGTCCTCATGATATATGATGTATAAGCTTTTCTGTCAAAGCCCTATCACCATTCTTATACCACTAAAAATAGCAACACACCCAGGGTCAGAGCACCAAATAGCTCGCAAATAGTCAAAACAGTTTTTAATGTAAAGTGCAGAGACATTTTTTTCATGTTGTCGGCCTTGCAGCCTTCAAACTTTTACCAAATGGCTTTTGAAAGAAATATATGCTAGGGTATTATTTGCATGAGTATGAGTACATTACAGCTTAATTGTTGCCATTTATTAAGTCCCCAGATAGAGGCAAAGATCCTTGGAACCTATTTTGTCTTGTTAGTGGTGTAGAACCTATCCTGTGATGTATTTTGGTTGAGGAGCCTATGCAAGTTGAAGGTCACTATTTTGTGGCTGGGCATGAGCATGTGACATGTAGTACTGCAGTAATTGATTTAAGTTAGTGCTCCTTACAATATTTATCATTTAAAACTTTAAATCTGCTGGCTAGTTATATAATAGTTAGCACAAGTCCACTGTCTGTTATATACAGTAGTAGCTGGTCTTTTGTATTCATACCATGGACTTATGTGATAGCCTTGAGAGAAATATTTTGCATTTAAAGATATTGGAGAAAACATGAAGTTCATATGCTCCTCAATGTGTCATGGTTTGATTATGTTATCTGGCCTTGTGTAACATTGATTGAGAACCAGTTGACAGTTTGTATCTGGAAGTTATGCTCACTAACACAAGTGCCAGATACTGACACTGACAGTTGTATTTTTCCTAGCCTCCATTGTCACATGGCTTATGGAATGGCATGATTTAAATGATGCTATTAGGATGGCATAAATGCTAAGGCAACTATGAGATACTCTCCCTGATATACCTATCCCCATTCTCCTGGGCATGAAGCTCAGAAACTTAGGTCCTAAGGAGGGCAGGATTGTGAAAAGCATGGAAAGGTCTGCATTATGTCTGGGTTCAAAACTTCCTATAAATGTGGAATGCTCCTGTTAAGAGATTACATTTGCCCCTTAATTTTGAACTATTCATATGGTGCAGAAACATGGCTAGCTTGTAAACTGTCCCCTATTTTTTCACAAACATCCTGAGCACTTACAAAATAGATTTAAGTGTATTATTTAATAGTGTTTGATATTTTTTGTTGAATTTGAACTGAAATAGGTATATTAAAGATCATTTGGTGGATTCCACAGCCCTGCCCTTCTGAAGACCTGAACCCCTCTAGTTTATGAGCTACACACCCATGAAGATATATAGACTTTTATGGGGAAAGTATTTCAATGTTATCTAGGCATCAGTGACAGCACATAACATCACTGAACTCCTGCCAGTCCATTGGCCATGTGGCAATCAAGGCTAAGAAAAATAAGATTGTTGAGTGGTTCATACCTGGCATAGGTGAGCATGATTTCCAGATATAACAGCCATCAATTGGCTCTTGAATCAATGTCTTGCAAGGTACGCTGACAAACAGTTATGTATTGAGTAGTGTATCTACTCAACAGAAATGGTCTGATATCAGAAGCAGTGTTTTCCACTTAAAAAGTACACCAATATTCATAAGTGGGCTTTTTTGTCCTATCTGATGTTCAGTTCAACATCTGCAAGTGTGGAACATTCCATTTTTATTTCATTTCATTCATTGCATGTTCAGCAGAGAAGCATGTAGTCTACTGCCACAACTGTTTTGATATGGGGAATAGGCCATTGGGAGTTGCGCATGCATTCTGAGCTGTCCAAAATACCGCTAGCTATAGCTCGGTCGCCAGTACCCTAATGGAGCAGGAAACTTCGCGCGTTTAGGTTGAAAGTATCAAGCAACCTTAGGATCTGTTTGTCATGGTGTGTGTTCGTCGTCGTCGTTGAAGTGACGTCGACGTATGTGTTAATTTTTCATCTCTGTCGATCCGTGATGGAACACAGCAGGGTGTGATGTGAATTGCTGGTCCGGGGGTATTCGACGTCGTTTCGTTGTTCACGTTTGTTCGGGCGCTGCACGTTCATTACACATTCGTTCACTCTGCAGCTCTGAATCCCTGTTCCACTCAGAATGATGGAGCTAATTTGGGTGATTTTCCCCAGGTCTGATCCAGATATAAGTGGGAGTTTGAAGGAGCATACTGTTTCTGCCAACATCGGGATTGGTTTGCCAACAGCATCATGAGTCGCAAACGGTTCATAGACAAGAATAAATCGGTATCATTTCACCTACTTCACCGGTCCCAAAGAGATCCTCTGGCAGCAGACGAGTCAGCCCCGCAGAGGGTTCTCGCGGAGGTCGAAGATACCAAAGGCGATGCGGCTCTCTCAAGGAGAGAGCTTAATGCTAAGTACGGCATATACTTTGATGACGATTACAACTATCTCCAGCATATGAAAGATGCCAAAAAGCAAGATGTCGTTTGGGTGGAGTCCGTGGCCGCCGCCAAGAAAAGGGGCAAGCGCCCCCACGCATCTCCTCAGGATGAGTTGTCGGAGGCGGGCCCGTCCCTGCAGCTACCATCGTCACTCTTCGCTTCGAATGTGGAGGAGAAGGTTGGTCTGCTGAACAAAGCAGCGCCGGATCACAGCCCTCCCGACGAAATCGAGTCTGAGTTGAATGAGATCATGGGTGATGATTACGCGCACGACCCCCAAAATGAATTAGAGGACAATTTCTTCGAGTTAGCGGGTGGCCTGGCGACTGACAGTGAAAGCGACGACGAGATTGAGGTGGAAATGGATGATGAGGATGGGGATTTTGATTCTGATCAGTTCGACGAAGAAGCCGTCCACGATCTAAAGCCATTCAGACATGAGTCCAAGTCTCAGTTCACCGAGTACTCCACCACAAGTCAAGGGGTGCTCAGTACGGTGGAAATGGAGGCACTGAACGAGAGATTCGACAATTTCATGGGACAGTACGAGGATCTTGAAGTAGGTGGTCTGGAATCGGAGGAGATCGCCGGTGCACTGGATCCGAACTCGGATCGCTTACTTCAGCTTGCTGCTGAATTCGAGAAGGCAAAAGAGAAGCCGACCATTGAAAAGGAAGTAGCCGTCAGAGAGACCAAGGAAGATCGCGATGATGAAGACCTGGTTTTTCTCACAGTGTACGAGAATTTGAAAGAGGACAGAATGGACTGTGAAAGTATTCTGTCCACGTATTCCAACAAACGGAATCTGCCTCACCTCATCGATGGTCCGAGTAGCATGCAAAAAATCAAGATAGACAAGAAGGGCATAGTCAAAGATGACAAGCCAAAGTTGACGAAAAAGGCTCTCGCACAACTGAATAAAAAGGAGAGAGAAGAATCTGGTGACGACAGTGATGGGTCCGAGTCCTCTTTCGGCAATGAAACGCTCGCAAGTAGGATTTCTATGTTGTCTGTGCGGCCTGAGGGTGAGACCTCTGGTGAAAGGAAGGCAAGGAAACATGAGTTAAAAGCTCTCAGAAGAGAACGTATTCAGGAAAAGAAGGCTAATCAGCTTTTGACGAAGGTGTTGTCTGAGCGGCAAGCCCAAAGCCAATCGGATAAACTGAAAGCCAAGCAGGCTATTCACTATCACTGACAGACATGAAGCGGTTGAGTGCGTGGAAGGCGAGATGCCCTGTCAACTTTGCTGTGTGAGGATTGTTTAGAACTGAGGTGTGTGAATCATCGGTTCATAGTGTCTGCACGTTCTGTGGAATATATTTGTGGAAGCGCTGCCAGTCGGCAGTGAGTGCGAAGTGGTGGGAGTAACCGTATATTTTTATGAGCGAGGTATAGGTGACGTACGCGAGTGGCTGACTGGCATGGCATCCGATCAATGTCGATGGGCGTCGGCCCATATCGTTCTTCACAAGCCCATAAAGCGGGCCATTTTCAGACTTGCTTTATGCGCCTGCGTATGCATGTTCATTGTGCGTGTGGGTCCGCCTTGTATGTGTATAATTGGTGAGCGTCTGACACCTTTCGGATTACACTACGCGAAGCTTTGGCCATGCCATTTCACTTGTTTGACGATGCCTAGATCGGAACTAGATTTTTGAATGAATTCACGACTGCGGGAGGATCTTTTTTTGTGCATTCAAGTACCGGTGGCCTTCACGAGGCCGTTGACGTTTTGTGTTGCTTCACTTATGGCGCATAGTGTGCCAGAAAGTATATGGAACTGCTATTGCCACTGCGAGGGGTAGGTGCATAAGGGTTAAGACCACGCTCTTTTTCAGGTCGTTTTGAGCGTACTACCGCGGCTGGTAAACCCTTCCGGTACGGCTGGTTTGACGGTCTGCTGCCCATAACCCTTGCCTAGCCAAGCATACACGCATAACTCGTCTCCAACCGCTAATACAAGATGGACCTCGCATTCGGATATAGCCCAGATATAGCCCCGTGCATTGCCGGAGCGCGATCCTTCCGGCCTGTTGCCACCAATATCGCTGCGTTATTGCGGTACCTGTGCAAGTCTGGGCCTTGGCACAAATATAAGTGAAATAAATGCGTAAATGATTCCGTCTTGACGTGGAATGGAGGACGAGCAAATTGGATACGCTAAATAACGGATGGAAAAGTGTTTACGACGGCATCGCCGCTGCAGCGTCTTGCGGCGCAGATAGAGGGGGGCACGTGCCTGCCCCCTTTCCCTAGGTTCCCAGGGGCCCTTCGGACCTCCCTCGGGGTCTACGATTAAGAGCCCGATTGGAGGCTCCCAGGGGCCCGAAAGGCCGACAAGAGATCGTGTGCATGGATACCGGCGCGCAGGGCCGGGTACTCCAATGTCAGTTCGATGTCCCTGCGCGCCCATCAGCGGTCCTCGAGTCGATAAGGGCATATGTAAGGGCAAGTCCGTCGGACAACCACTAACAACCGGATCCGTGGCGGCATGGGCCTGAGGGCCCATTTCTCAAGCAGGGTTAAAGCCGGAGCCGGCAGTTTACATTGATCGGGACCCCAGCGTTTGTCAGGGCCCCACCGGCACTAACAGGGTGCCTGTGTTAGCAAGGGGCCCCGAGTCAGCCGGGGGCAGTGTTCGAGGAGGCCCGAAGAGCTTGGAGGACTCGCGGGGTTCGGTTGGAGAGTATAATGGTGTGAAGGACTGTTCGGTGCTTTATTCAGGGGCCCGGTCTGCGGGGGCGGGCAGGTAGTCGCGCTGGTCGAGTCGAGGCCTGAGATATCCGTTAGAGGCATTCCGCACCGTTTAGGGACCCCCTGAGACAGTGGGGGTGTCTAAGCCGGTCAGAGACCACAAACACTGAACAGTGGTTCCCTTTCAGTCTGAACCCTGGGGGCCATTTCCCAAGCAGGAGCAAGGCCGAAGACCCGATTTGCATTGGCCTGGGTCCCTGAAACAGTGGTTGGGGCCTCATGTCGGTCATTAGCTCACAGTACACAACAGGAGGTCATGTGTCTGTTAGCAGCCTTGAGTCGGTCACGGGCTTTGTTCGAGAACGTCCGAAGAGGGACCGGAGGGGCTCACGGGAACAAAGATCAATGGCCTATTGGACTAGAGTCCCCCCCCCCCGATATGTGGTTCCGTGACCTGAAATGTCACTGGAGGGCTTTTGTTAGGGCCCTAGTGTGGCGCGCGGCGTATATATCTATTTATCTCTTCGCCGCGGGCCACATGCTGCTTCCCCCCCCCCCCCCCCAATGTGCGAGTACGGTTTTTGTTTGTTACGTTTGGCCCGGGCGCACGTTCCGAACACGCGCGCCAGGCCAATCAATAAGGGCCCTTCAAACACACCGACTCCGCCAGAGGCGAAAACAGTAACCGTATGAGGAAGACAAGGTGACAATCGTGGGGAGTCACAATCATGGGAGTCACAACAAGAAGCGCTACCACCAGCCTGGTGCGCAGCGACGGCTCCAGTGCTGCGGCCGTCTCCCCTCAGCCTTGTAAGCCCGGTGAGGAATCGTCAACCTTTCGGCGATTCTCTGAGATCCCCGGCCCTTTCTTCCTTTTTTTAGACAAGGTGAGAAAACGCGTTTGGAAAGTTTTTTAGATTACGTACTGGCATATCACTTCTGGTCTGGTATATATCGTGTATTGATTTCGTGTTTCCATCCTACTGTCTTGATAAATCATGCAATACATCGATAGGTGGCGAGATCCGATGTTTAATTGCTCGTCCACTACGTGACTCTCAATTTTACCATCTACAGTTTTCTATCTAATATTATTGATTACGGACAACGTCCACTGAATGACGGCTGGTGATGAGTGTCGATCAGTAGAGGGGAGAATCCGGCCGATCGATCCCTGAGCTTTTACGCCATCAACGTTGACTATTCTTTGCTGTCATTTATGCTGTTGTTGCTGCTGCCCCCAGTGACCTGACATGGGGGCCAGGTTCGGTGGTTTCCTGTTAAGCGACTTAACTGTTTGGCAACAGGAGTATATCGCTAAATACCGATCAGAAGATAGCGGTGAATAAACATACCCTTAGGTATGGCTGTTTAAGTCGCTCCGAAAGGGAATTGACTGTGTTCGCGCCGGATCAAGCGTTGCTAGATAATTCATTAACTATTCTGTAGTGGCCGCAGTGGGGTTCTACTCATTTAGCAAATTCATCCCAAATTTTATTGAAAACTATCGACAGTTTACCTATCGACAATGTCATGTGTAATGTGCTTACATAATAAGTCATGACTGAAATGGTAGCAGCGAATAATCCACCTTGATGGCGTAGAAGTTTAGGGATCAATCGGCCGGATTATCCGCTCTACTGATCGACACTTATCACTGGCCGTCATTCAGTAGAGGTTACTAGTAATCAATGATATTGTAAAGAAACATCTAACTGATAAAACTGAAAGTCGCTTAGCGGACCAATAATTAAACATCAGATCTCGCCACCTATCGATGTATTGCATGATTTATCAAGACATTAGGATGGAAACACGAAATCAATACACGATATATACCAGACCAGGAGTAATATGCGAATACGTAATCTAAAAAACTTTCCGAGCGCGTTTTCTCACCTTGTCTAAAAAAGGAAGAAAGGGCCGGGGATCTCAGAGAATCGCCGAAGGGTCGGCGGTTCCTCACCGGGCTTACAAGGCTGAGGGGAGACGGCCGCAGCACTGGAGCCGTCGCTGCGCACCAGGCTGGTGGGAGCGCCTCTTGTTGTGACTTGCATGGTTGTGACTCTCCACGATTGTCATCGTGTCTTCCTCATACGGTTACTGTTTTTGCCTCTGGCGGAGTCGGTGTGTTTGAAGGGCCCTTATTGATTGGCCTGGCGCGCGTGTTCGGCACGGGCGCCCGAGCCAAATGTAACAAACAAAAACTATACTCGTTCATTGAGGGGGGGGGGAGGCAGCATGTGGTCCGCGGCGAGTATAAAAATAGATAGCTACTAGGGCACTAATAAAAGCCCTCCCAGTGACATTTCAGGTCACGGCACCACATATAGGGGGGGGGGGGGGAGGGGGCTCTAGTCCAATCAGGCCATCGATCTTTCGTCCCGTGGGCCCCTCCGGTCCCTCTTCGGACCTCTTCGAACGAAGCCCGTGACCGACTAGGGGGCCGCTAGCCGACACATGACCTCCCGTTATGTAATGTGAGCTAGTGACCGACATGAGGCCCCAACCACTGTTTCAGGGACCCAAGCCAATTCAAATCGGGTCCTCGGCCTTGCCCCTGCCCGGCAAATAGGCCCCCAAGGTTCAGACTGACAGGGAACCCACTGTTCAGTGTCTGACCTGGTCTGGTCTGACTGGTCAGTGAACCCACTGGTCTCTGACCGACTTTGACACCCGCTCTGTCTCAGGGGTTCCTAAAACAGTACAAGAGGACCTCTGACTGATATTTTAGGTCACGACCCTTCGGGCCGCATTTCTTAATGGGGCCTACAGCCAGTAAGTACTTCGGGTTCTTACGCCCTCCAACCTGGGCCCTGATAGTTAGTTCCATTGGGCCGCCCGGGCCCCTCTCCGGACCTCATCAAACACGCCCATCGGTCGGCTCTGGACCCTTGCGAGCACAGGGCCTTCTGTTAGGTATGTGGGCCCACAACAGACACAAGACCCCGACCGATGTAATCACTTGCCCGGCTTTATAGCTGATTGGGAAGTGGGTCCTCAGGCCCAAACCGACACGGAGCTGACTATGTGGTACGGCGGTACCTGACCGACATAGTGGCTCATGTCGACTCAGGGGGTCCCCGATCGGCTCAACGGCCCTCTGACCGTTATTTTAAGGTCCGTCTTCGCAGGTCTGGGCCCCCGAACAAGACTCAAACTAGTCCTTTATGCACTTTATGCCCTGCTATGGCCCCAAACCTACACAGGGGCCCCTCATTGTGTAAGGGACCCCAAATATTGCAAATCGTTGCAGGGGCCCCGAACAATGTAAAGTGCGGGCCCAGCCGTGTCCCTGCTTGGGAAATGGCCCCTGCTGCTCAGACCGACACGGAGCCGATGCTCAGCACGCGCGCTCTGTCTCAGGGGTCCTCAATCGGTGCAAGAGACCCTCTAACTGGGATTTAAAATCACGTCCCTACGGGTGGGGATCTTAGACGTGACGCACAGCCAGCCCTTTGGGCACTTAAGCATTCCAATCGAACCCTTGATCTTTGGTCGTAATAGACCCTTCGATCCAATAGACCTCTTTGGGCCTCCTCAAATACCGCCCCTAAACGACTGGCGGGGGGGGGCCTCTTTACGGACACAGGAGGCCTTTCATTGTATCAGGGAACCCAGGCATTGGGAATCGAGGGTCCCCGGCCTCGTTCCTAGCGGGGAAAATGGGTCTCAGGGACTTAGACAGACAAAGAGCCGACTGTTCAGCGCCGTGTCGAGGCCCTGAATAACAGGGATAGAAAACCTTACTATGAGTGCTTTTCGCGGTTTTCCAACACCGTTGTTTCCTTCAACTTAATTTTTGCTGTCGCGCGTAACTAGAAGAACTGGTTCCTCAGTTCTCAGCAGCAGCATTTTAATCACCCAGCGTATTTTTTACGGATACCAAGCGGCAGCCACGAGATTCTTGAC